CTCGGTGGGCTGCTCTAATCTGCTACTTAGCATGGCTGGCTGCTTGAGTTTTGTGTCAAACGACAGCACAGCAACAAAGCCAGAGGGGAAATGCTGTGCTGGTTTGAAGACGGTGTTGAGCACTAAAGCTGAGTGCCTCTGTGAGGCCTTCAAGAGTAGTGTTCAATATGGTATCGTTTTGAATGTCACGAAGGCTCTGTCTCTCCCTTCTGTCTGCAAAATCCACGCTCCTCCTGCCTCTAACTGCGGATGTCAGCGCTCTCCCTTTTAAAATTTCTTGTTGGTTCTCGAAAGTTACTTCTTTTTTTTTTTACTTGATTTGTTGTTTTTTGTTCTTGCTGCAGTGTCCATTAGTCCCTCTGGTGCCCCTGCCCCTGGTATGCTCTTTTCCTGATCTTTGCATGTGACATTTGATGCACTGGTTGAATTATGTAGATTATTTTTTCTTATTGGCCCGTATCTGAATTATCAAAGGAACAAAAAAAGATGAAGAAAGAAGAAATTGAATTCTTGGCTGTTGTCTTGCTGCCATTCTTTTCCTTATTATAATTTATTTCATGTCATGTTTCTTTTTTTAAATTGTAATCCCTTGTTTGTGCTTGAACACTGTGGAGAGCGGCGACCATCTTTCTTGGTCGTTTGGTCTTGAGATAGATTGTTCATCCGATTTTGCATTCCTTACATCTGCATTTTTGAAAGAGGAAACAAGCGACCCCCATCTCACATCTTCAGTTGGGTGCATGCAATCAATATTCTCTGGTTGTAGTGCATGGAAAGGGCATCCAAATCTTGCCATGGTAGTTAGTGAATTTGATGCTGAAAATAACAGGATGTTGATGGTTATAAATGTGGCAAGTGGTTTGCTCACAGAGTCATTTACGCGTATGATTTTGCTGTTTTGTTAAGAACCATATTAATTTGTTTGCCAATCAAATATACTGAACAACGCTCATCATGTTGCTCGCTATGTGTGGCAGGAGGATCTGCGCCTGGACCAGCTGTGAATGGTGGAGGAAATGAGCAAGCACCAGCTCCATCTCCAGGTCATTCCGGTTCTACTGGGTTTTCCATCTCTGTTGGATCACTAATCATTGGATTTGTCGTTGCATCTTTCTCTAGTTTCTGAATGAGTTTTGTTCTCTTTTGTGATGATTAAGAGAGTATGTCTCACGAGGGAGCTAATTTGTTGTCTTGAGCAGAAACACATTTGTTTTAAAAGTTACTGAGACTGGTTTTGTGATGGGGATGTCTTTTTGAGATATAAGCTCTTGTTTATCTCTATCTTACGCCTTCTGATTTTTAGTGCATTTGATATTTTTGTGGGACGGTTTGAGCTTGGGATACACCTATAAGCTTTAGCGAGTTTGCTCTCGCGGATTATTCTTCTTTTCAAATCTTGAAAACGTATATATTTTCGATTGAAAAGTACCTTTACAAAGCACACAAATGATCATGGGGCAAGGATTACTGAGACTGGTTTTGTGATGGGGATATCTTTCTGAGATATGAGTTCTTGTTTATCTCTATATTACGCCCTGTGATTTTTAGCGCATTTGATATTTTTGTGGGATGGTTTGAGCTTTGGATGCACCTATTAGTTCCAACGAGTTTGCTCTCACAGATTATCCTTTTTTCAAAATGCTTTTCAAATCTTGAAAACATATAAATTTTTAATTGAAAATTACTTTTACAAAGAACACAGATGATCCTTGGACAAGGATGGTTACAGTGACGAGTTACTAGTGTCTAGCTACGAGATCCTCCGAGAGTCTTTAAAGGATCACAACACCTGAAGTAAAGCATAAGAAATATACAGCGGCTAGGATCCTTTTAAAGATGACACTCGAGGATTAGGATAATCTGACCAAAGCTAGAATTTTCTCGTCGGCGTTGGGCAAGGATTGATCAGCTTCAGCTTGGTCTGAGGTGTTTTGTGGCCCAAAAGAAAGACGACAGAGGTTTCCTAAGAAGAACAAGGACTTGTTGTGGACATTCGATGCAAGCTGTATTCTCAAAATCCTGAGATGGAAAAGATTTCGAGACCCACCCCAAGAGCCCAAGTCAACCTCAGCAGCTAAAGCTTGTCTGGTCCATACGGCATGCTGTTTTTGTCCACTATAGAGGCATGTTCTTGATGGCAACATGTAAGAGATCACGTACGAAAAAACTGCTTTTCTTTTTCAAGAGGTGGTGATATTATTATTATTATTATTATTGATATTATTATTATTAGGAGGAGGAGGAGGAGGAGGAGGAGATTAGTTCTTTTTTAACCATGAAATTTCTTTAATTGAATAAAACTTTTAACATCAAATAAAGATGAATTTTTTTGTTATTGAAATTGTTATTAAAAAGTAATTAAACCTATAAGTTTCTCTCTTTTTGTTATTTTAATGTAATTTTCTTTTTCTTATCTATAACTCAAGAATTGAAATACAACAAAAAATAAACTTTCAAGCTAGAATTAAAATTACAAAAAATATGGGAACTGTGGAGAAAGAAAAATGAAATTATGACGATTAAAAAAACTTTTGTCATGAATTTTAGATTGGCTATCTTTTATCTTCTTGTTTTACACTTTTCAATTCTTAATAATTTTTTATAAAATGGTCATTAATTTGGCCATTGAAGATTGTAAGTGGAAAAATTGAAATAAAATTAAGTATTGAAAAAATAAGATGATTATTATTATTATTATTATTATTATATCAGTTTGGTGTTTTTTGAATTTTTTTTATTTCAAATAATTTTT